ATTTTGTTGAAAAAAATATACATTGATAGTGTACATTTTCTGTGCTTAACATCCATGTGACCCTAAGTCTGGACAAAGGATCCCTTTCTATGAGTTTGGCTGGTATGTCTCAAAGGCGTCTCCTGTCTTGTCAGTGGCATGCCTATTAGTGTTGGTTTCCAAAATCAGAGAGTTTCGCAACCGTGCGAAAGTCAAAAGGTTTCGCCATAAGTCGAAACTAGTTTTGATTTTTTGACTATTGACTTTTGATTTAGTTTTAACATATAACTTTTAATTTTAGTTTTGACTTTCGTCTCTTCAAAATAGTTTTGACAACCAACACTAATGCCTATTCACCAACAATCTTACCCCCATTTAAATAACAAGGTCAGTTGACAAATAAAAATTAAAGAGAAACAGAGAATTTGGGAATGATTAATTTATAGCATACCAAAATCCAAACCATTTTATGACTTTTTTCTTGTTTGACAAAGATGTATATAATCATGTGATAATTTTAACCTACAGGACAGGGGACTGATTGGGCAAAAATTATAAATTGGTTAGTATCAGTGAAACAAAGAATTTATGAAAATGATTATACAAAACAGACACTATTTTACAACTTTCCTCTTAACATCAGACTCCAAATGCAATTTCAGGGCCACAAACCCTGCTCTGAATTGTAACCTCCTGGTGCTTGAAACAAGCTGCAGATTCTTGTTGCTTTGATGGATCTGGATGTTTATGCGCACCTAATATTACAATTCATCTGCAGAGTTGCAACTTGGACACAGAGCCACCCTTACCCTAGAGTAGGATCATTACAGGCAACTTTTCGGCCAGCATACCAGCAGCCTTCTCTGGTCTGGTGCTGTAAGGGAAGATTAGTGAAAAGTGTCATTGTCATTGATGATTGATGCAGTCTCAGTGAACTCCAGGACCATGCTGCCCCCTGGAATTCAGTTGCATCACTGTATCATCAGGGGGCGCAAGTCAGATTAGCCTTGTACACAAGGAAGATGAGAGAATGGCTGTAAGTGTTCAAGGTAGCATGCGTGCTTCAACATTTGCCAATTTCCAATAATCAAACTTCGCATATCAAAATGTTTCATATTCAATGGTGTACCACCTTGACATCTTGTAGTTAAATTATATATTAATATTAATATTGATTACAAAAAGCAAAATATTAATATTACCAATGAAAATCTTGTAATTACCTAGCAGGATCTGTTCTGCATTTTGATTCCAATTAAAATATTTATAAGCTAAAATAAAAGACACCACATTATATCAATGCAAATAAAAAATAGTACCTCTTGTTAGTTATTAACACGTTTCTTTAGGAGACCCAAACCAAACTAAACAACAACACTCCAAAAAAAAAAAAAAAAATCAATTAGCATCTGTCCTACCAAAAAAAAACCAATAGGATAAATAATTAATGTGTACACATCGATCAAATCACAAACTTCTTTTTCTTTAAACATGACTTATACTACAAATAAAAGAAGCAAAGGAAGAGGAATTGCTGAAGAATGAGGGTAAGTGTTTTAAGAATAAAGATGGTGGTGGTTATCGCCCACCACTTGTTGTTACTCTAGTTATTTTTTTAAAAATGATTGCAAAATTTTAATTTTAATAACAATCATCATAACTAAAATTTATAATAATAATAATAATAATAATAATAATAATAATAATAATAATAATAATAATAATAATAATAATGTCAGGACAGGCAGACAAGAAAAGAAAAAGAATGGCGGTGATTGTGATCATTGCAACTTGTCACTCTAATTGTTTTTAAAAAATAATATTTCTTTTTTACAAATTAGCAAAAAAACAAGTATGTTTATTGTATATAGATTTTAGATGTTGATTGACTCAGCTAATTATGTATAATGTTACATTGAATAGATTATAGTGATGATAATGAAAATGTTGAAGACAAATTAATTCAAAAAATTAATGAAGAATTAATGTTGCCATCAATTGAATCAGAAAAAGTAAGTTTGCTTGTTATATTTTGTTAAGATATTGTTACAGATTTAACAAATTCATTTGGAAAATATAAATCAAAAATCCTAAAAACAAAAAAATCATAACATAAGTGTTTATGATAATTTTACACAAAATTAATCTGATTATCTATATACGTATTTATATTTTATAGGCCAGGGTATTGGGGTGTGCTCAACCTGACAAGAGAATCTTTGTATGGTGTAAAAGATCTTGAGGATTCATTATTAGAAAATGTGACAAAAATTTTTTCTAAAAAATTAAATTGGAATCCCAGTCCTGCACCTGAAGTTCTTCAAAAATACTTTGAAAATAATTGCATTGACAATATAGATGGCACTTATATAAGAATTAAATATATGTAAGTTCTATATAAATTTATCCATAAAATATCTTTTTAACAAATTATCTTACTGCAATTTATTATGCAGCAAATCCAATATGAAATATTTCTCTTTGCCAATGACAGAAGAAGAACTTACATCAGGAAATTTTTTCTGACACAAATTTACATAATATTATGGGGCCGCCATAAACTTATGTAAATAGTGTAATATTATGCAAAAATTGCAAAATATTACAACATTTCATATTAAAACTTATGGATGTAATATTATGGCGGGAAAAGTTTCCTGATGTAAGATGAGTATCATGTTTCCATTCTATTGAGGTGTAATTGGAAATAATTTTATTAGGGAGAGATGGGGTGAATTAGTTACAAAATCAACATCTGATGCATGTAATGAGAATAGTGACCCATTCAAGAAGTCAAGAATTGGACACAAGGTAGATATGCTTGGAACATTAATCAGAGGTTCAATCAAAGCTGAAATCCTTTTGGTGAAGTTTCAGGTGGGATCAATTCATCTGGGCCGCCAGCTGCATCACAAAAAAAAAGATTTCTAGATAAAGTAATGATTTCTATTATTATGAGAGATTCATTAAATTCAATGTTGAAGAATTGGAAAAATATAAATGATGATGAACAAAGAAGATTGGTTACTGTAAAGTCTGGAAAGATAGCACCCCCTACTTTAAAACAATTGAGTGTCAATATAAAAAAAATGTTACACATATGTAAAAAGGGGATGCTATCTTTCCAGACTTTATGGTATATATGGCTGGACACAGCATGGTATGTTTATTTTGTTAGCACCTTATATTAATATGCAAATATATTATCTAATGATAATTTTTCTTTAATATAGGATTTGAAATCAATATTTATGCTATGCAATGGTATGAAAATGGGATATATCTGTTTGGAATATTGGATAAAACCATGATACCATCATCAGATAATGATTGTATACTATTTGAAGAATTATATTGTGTCTTGAGAGAGTTGGAAGTAAGTACTTATTATTATGCCATTATTTGATTAATGATATATGAATATGCAACTAATTTAAAAGTTTTCCAGGTGAAGTTGTCTGAAACAGAAGAAGTGATCAAAGATTTAAATTCCACAAATATGAGAGGAAAAAGAAGAAAACTCTCTGAATGCAATTCTCCTAATTTAAATGAAGTCAGAACACCATAATGAAAATTGATTTTTTCACAAAAATTATTTCAAATTTTAAATGCTTTGAATTACTTTAATACATTGTCAAATATATTTATGGCTTAATTTTATTTTTATCATTTGAATTTAATATTAGAGTTAATTTTAAAAATTTATTCTATGGTTGGCTTGGTCTAGAGACCTCCTATTGCCGTGCCATGTGCTCAAATTTCAAAAATTGTGATTTCGTGATTAGTTCAAAAATGCAATAAAATTTTTTAAAGTGTTTCACGTGATTTTGGCTTTAAAAAAATTATTTTCCTTACTGCCAAATTTAGATATGATGATCGAGTATGTCTAAACTTAGTAATGATGATCAAAAACTAGTCTAAATTTAACAATGATCATAGTGCTCAAATTTCTCATGAGTATAGTAAAGTACATGTTTTAAAAAAGAATAGAACTCTACAAGAAATAAATTTTTTGAGAAAATCTCTTTATTACATTAAAACTAAATACATATTCTATCAACTAATAGAGCTATTTTTTTAAACAATAGTACAGAAAATAACTTTTATACTTTTAAAATTTGCCCAAAATTTAGGAGGTCTTTAGACCAAGCCAACTATAGTAATTTTTTTTAGGATCTAGTGATCAAAAATAAATCTTTTTATGTTTGAGTTTTTGATTCCCTCTTTCCAGCTGATATACTTCTTTACACATGAACTATCAGTTAGTTGAAATCAGTGGTGTTAATGCAAATAAAATAAAATAATGCAAGACACTTAGTCCCTACGAATTGCTATGCTACAGCAAAGATATATCTGATTCAAAAATATAGGCTTGTAGTAAATAGAAGTGAATATGATAGAGCAATGGACATTATTTATCCAAATTAACAGCTGTTTCTCAGAGCATAAAGTGAGCCAACTCTAATCAAACTACTTTATTCTTCACTGTAATATATGCAGAAGTGCTACCATAAGCTACCATATTTGTTGTGAGTGTTTCTCCTATTCCCAGTGTATCATTAAGTTCTGGATTAATACATACTATAAATTGTGGTTACTTCGGTGGTAACCAAGTGTCCTCTGGTTTTTGTAATGTGATATATTATGTTTGCCACATGATTGACATTTGTTATTGTTATTCATATCCACCGATTTGTGCAACATTTTGGGGTACGAAATCTGAGAAAACAAAAATATGGGGATCATATTTTTTAAA